GCCACTTTTCCCTATGTTCCCAACACTGGCGGAGGTACTAGTGGTTTAATCTACTTTCTTTTTAATGTGCTTTGCTGCTTGTGATGCTGTTTACAATGTGTGTGGGTTCCTTCTGGCCGTGTGATCAGGAATCATCGACAGGCAGTTCTCAGGCCAGACAACATCAGAAACCGCGCAGGTAAGTCCGCGTCCGCGTCCGCGTCGGCATCTATCAACACATCAACGAGGTAAGTCCAGATTGGATCCAATCAAAGGTCTGGCTCATATCAGCACTCAACGGGACACATCAGCCTGGTGTTCTTCTGGTTCCTCGTCAACTTATCTTCAACAACCGTTGCAGTTCACTCTTCAGTATGCCATGTAGGCAATGTGATTGCCAATATGCCACGTCAGCGCTCAGTTGTCTTCTTCAGCGCTCTTCAATCAGTGCAGCTTTTACTAGCGATTTATTCCCTCGCAGGAACCAACCAGTGAGTGCCACGTCAGCACAGGCCTATGGTAAGATCCACTCTGCCTTTGCCACGTCAGCAACCCCTTCAAAGAGAGACTAGTTTGGCGATTTATTCCTTTGCGAGAACTAGCCAACGAGTGCCACGTGGACGCAAGCAGCAGATGGTTACAACCACTCTGCAAGTGCCACGTCAGCACTCTATCAGAGAGGTATCTTCAACTTCTATAGCGAGGTCGTCTTCAATTGAGCAACAAATCGGCGAGATGAGGTGAATTCGCTCCAATACCAAATTGTAATGAACCCAGTCTCGTCATCCAATCATGTTGCAGATAACAATGTCGTGCAATGCCATGAGATAATCATCCAATAATTCCATCGGTTCGAAGTCATTAAAGTACATGTTTCCTCATTACCACGTATATGTCTCAAAGTCCACAGTATCCAAAAAAGAGAGGAGGGGAGAATAGACAGTTGGAAGGAGAAGTGTAAGTCCAATAGACAGTTGGAAGGAGAAGTGCAAGTCCCTCTTCTCTGTCAGACTCCCCACCTCTGCTACGTCAGCAATCTGTACTTAATGCGCCACATCAGCAATATGCCCACAATGTGCCACGTCAGCAATATGCACTCAATGTGCCATGTCAGCAATATGCACTCAATGTGCCACATCAGCACTAGTATGCACTCAATGTGCCACGTCAGCACTCTGTGTAACACGTAGACGATGTGGAAGCAGCCCCTCGCAGATAAACGACCCTCCAACAGCGAGCAGAATCGGCAGCAGCTTTACATCTCAAGAAACCAGGTACGTATGCACAACAACTCACATCACCCGCACTCTCTCCCTCTCCCTCTCCTCATTCTCTCGCCAACATCTATGGTCGCGGCCTTCGCCGCTCTCCCTCGCTCCGTCTCTCTATACTACGATATCTGGCTGGCACCCACGAAGCCGTCTGGTGCCAGCATTCCCACTCAAGTCTCACGTGCAGCGTTGTGGCCGCAACCAACTCACAAGACTGAACGCTCAAACAGTGGCGAGGTCAACCTTTCGTAGTGTCGACTCGCACTCGCACTGTCCAGAGTGGGCGTCGGTCCATGTGTGTGCCCGCGTCATCCCTTTAGTCCAATTTTAGTCTGGACTCTAGGCCGGAATCTTCCGGAATCTGCAGACAATTGTTAGATCATTCCAGATCAACGGCCAGGAAATCTTGGGTGTTGACTTTGACTTTGACTGCTCGGATCTGCCTGGGTCCACGAGTTGACTGTTGACTTTTTGTTGGTCAACTGTCGGTCTGGGCCATTTTCAAAGCCTGTTTGACCCGTCTTTTTCAAGGCCTGCCCGTTTGCGCTTGTCTGTGGGCGCATGGATAGCCCAGCGGGGCTCAATTTGGCACACGAGTTACAGCACAACGGCGTTCAGATATCATCATCTTTTTTTTCTTTTTTCTTTTTTCTTTTTTTTAATTGGTAATTCAGAATCATAGTATTTTACTCGTCTGCTTCCAGCGAAGTTCGAAATCGGGTCTGTTTTTCAACAGGGGTTTGCCAACCGAGCTAGCTAGGCCCGTGGCCTGTTTGGTAGAACGGACCGCCCCTAGGTAATTCAGAATTGTAATATTTTACTGATCCACTTCCATCCAGTGGAGTTCGAACTCAGATCTGCAATTCAACCTCTTAGGGGTGTACCAACTGAGCTAGGCCAGTTGGTACTACCAAAAACCTTGAAACAAAAAAAAAAAGAGGTCCCTTTTTATTATGTGGGGCCCGTGCCCAAGCCAAATGTACAATTCATCAAATGCAGGGGTCGCAAGGCCTCCAACCTTACACCGCAGGCAGACCCCACCCCTGTGCAAAGAATGAAAGAGACTAGAAAAAAAATGAAGCAAACCAGAGAGGTTCCACGGGCTTTAAACTACCAGTACATGGGCACCTGGGCTGCGGGTCTGACACCTCAAATTCTGGAGGCGCGAAATGAAAACGGGGCCGCCGATCGAATTTATCAATGGTGGGCCCAGCGTTTGACGTTTCAGCCTCATTTTCTTGTGGTGACAAGTTTCGGACTGCAAGGCTGGGGCCGTGTACTTGTGGTTTACTCCCTTCATCAAAAGATCTAGTCAAAGAAGTACCAAAGACTTTGGCATTATGTATATTAGTACAAATCTCCTCCATCATAATCCCTCTGCAAATTAGTGTATAATATTATATAAGGGAAAACTAGGGCGCAGTCAAGGTTTTCAGTTTTGAATGCGTTTCAGTCACGGTTTTGAAATTTGCTCCAAAGCGAGGAAAATTGTGAATGTATCCAACCCAGCTTTAGGGTTGAGTGGGGATGTGTTGTATTCGAGGGATGCCTGAAGTGGATTTAGAACTGAAAATGTGACTGCATATTACCTCTGCAAATTAGCGTAATATTATATGCGGAAAACTAGGGTGTAGTCAAGGCTTTCAGTTTTAAATGCATTTCATTCACGCTTTGGCGAATTTTGCTCCAAAGCGATGAAAATCAGAAATGTATCCAACCCAGCTTTAGGGTTGAGTGGGGATGTGTTGTACTCGAGTGATGCCTGATGTGGATTTAGAACTGAAAATGTGACTGACTACCCCTATTATATCCTTCTCCAGATGCCAAGCTCTTTTTTTCTTTGCCAGAGTCTTTCATCCGCTAGTCATAAATTTTAAGACATTTATAAGCTCTCTCTCTCTCTCTCTCTCTCTCTCTCTCTCTCTCTCACACACACACACACACACACACACAGATGTACGTAAAAAACAAAGGGGTCGCCTTTTGGCGGAGTTTAATAAACAAGATAAATTCTTCCGACGGCTCAGTAGAACTCAATGGGACGCTGGACCCAGTTTCCAGCAGGTGCTGCTCCCCACCAATAGACGGAGCCTTCGAAAGTGGAGGCCACTTATCGGGGATGCTCTTATCACCTCTATAAGTGACCCTCCGATCTGAGGTCTACGAACAAAAGAAAAAGATTCGCAGCTTTGCTTCTGGGTGACGGCCTTGAGATATTATCATTAAGCTGACCGGCCCCAGGTAATTCAGAAATAGTTGGTTTTACAACTTTTACTCATCAATCAAGTTCCAGCATCTGGACTCGAACACGGGTCTGTATTTCCAACAGTTCACGGGTGTACCCACTGAGCTAGACTCTTGGGTGGTCATCTTTTTTTAAGGCCTTCCGAAACGTGAACTAGCCTGTCTCTCGGACTACACACAGATGTCCTCCTTGCCGACAATCTTCTCCTTGCGGTAACCACAGGCGGTAGTTTTTTTTCATTTTTATACAGGCGGTAGTATTGCTGCAGCAAGGAAGAAAAGAAGTGAAAAAAAAATAAACACCATAGCTGCGTCAGGGCTGGGCGCGCTCATGAAAAAAGCCAATGCCACGATGAGGGGCCGACGAGCTTCAAAGCCGTCTTTTCTTCTTCTCTTTTTTTTTTCCAGAAAACCATTCGCCGGAAGCCTATTATCCAGCGGCCTAACTCAGTTGGTAAGGCTCGCAAGTGGCATTCAGGAGGTCGTGGGTTCAATCCCCATTGGCCTCATGTACCCCTTCCTCCTGGGCATGCTTGGCGCCCCCCAACTAGAGATAGACCACTGGCGCCCGCCACCTACAGATAGACCTCTGGCGCCCGCCACCTACAGATAGACCACTGGATCATGGGATCGGCATTGAGCAGAGTGTGCTGATGTTGGTAAGGAGGGGGGCCCACCACCTGAGGGGAGGCACAGGGATTGGTCCTGTTGGCATGGTCCCTGATGCTACCGGCTGTCCCCTGGCCTGTATCGCCCACCTGCAGGTAGGGAGCAGCCCCCGCATGTTCTGTCGTGAACACGGTTCTGGCTGCTACGGGGTTTTCCCCGTATGCCTCCAAATAGGAGTAGTGGTAGGTATAGGTAGTGTGAGGTGAAATTGAGAGAAGAATATAGCTTTTAATAAATAAATAAAAATTATTGCAGGTGGTAAAAGCACCGTCCAATAGAAGGCACCCATTCTAGATGGCTTCACTCGATCAGTGCGGAGCTGCACCTGCTGCCGTCTTCATCTTCTTCCTGCTGCAGAGAAAGAAAGAAGAAACAGCTGACGAGGTACCGGGATCAATGCAGGCGACACACTCCTCTTTTCTTTTCTTTCCCCCCTCC